AATTACTTTTTTACGTTTTTAGAAGCATGTAATAATAACGTGGAATAGGTCTAGCTATAAAAAAAACATTAAAACATTTTACATACTTATACCTAAACATATAATTGTATTTATTAATCTTTTTTGTATTAATTAATCGACCTTAAAGTAAAAATGCCGCATTTGTGACATATCAGGGGGCTGGTTTTTAAGCACTTCAGAAGCCACCAACAGTGGGCGCCGAGATTTTGGGTACACAATTTTTCGTCATTGACGTGGTCCTTTGCAATTCCGTCAACATGTGCACTCAGGTATATAGAAGTTTATAATCTGTCCAAATAATTTTATATATTTTTGCCCGCAAGTAAAACGATACATTTACTTGCGTCGTGAAGATTATTCTACTACTACTTACTATTCTTTATTGCACTTATATGTAAAATACATAAATTAACATACAATAAAATTAGTTAGCAAAGATCATCGTAATATTGTACTTTTTATCGTGTTATAAGTTCCTCCTCACTTAGAATAAACATGACTACCTACATATTAAGTTTAAAAGTTTTAACCAGAATTTATTTGCATAATCTTATAATTATGTTTTTAATAATTAATTATTTTAATATATTTCGAACTTACTACTAAATTTTTTATTCATTGCAACGGTGTTACCGTTCGTTTGAATATTGAATATTTTAATGTGTTCACGACTTTAATTAAATTTTGTGTAGTTATTTTATTTGTTGTTGGATATAACGGATATTTTTTTAAAGATAAACGTTTCAAATAAGTGATTTTTCTCAATGTATTTCGGGACCGAATAAAGCTGAAATAAAGTGGAACAGATCCATCCTAATATTATAAATGTGAAAGTTTGTGAAGATGTATGGATGGATGTTTGTTATTCTTTCACGCCAGAACGGTTGAATAGATCTGGATGAAATTTGGCACAGAGATAGATTATAGTATGGGAATACACAAATAGCACATATGTTAATTTTTGTCCCGGAAAAATGTACGGTTCCCGTGGGATAGATTTGTTTTATTGTGATATGTTTGTTTAGAATTGAACCCGAAGAGATGTGAGGGTGAGTCGCTAGGAAATGTCATAAAAATAAACGTAAAACAGTGTGAGTTCTGACTTGTCTTCTTCCAGTTCGAGGAGCTCGACTTATTGTCATATTTGAATAAGTCTCGTAAACGTTATAAACGTTTTTCGAAATCAAAACGATCCCGTCGCAGTAGAGATAAAAAAATATATCAATTATTTTCCGATATCTCTAATATTAAAAAACAGCTTGCAGAAAACAATACTTACTTTTAGTGGAACTAGTCTAGTAGTACCTGTAGTGATAGTGACCATATTAAAGACGAATCGGAACCACAATTTTCGTTAGCTATCGGGACTAAAGTTCGAATGTTGCTCAAATCGAACTCGATTCGAGTAACAACACACAAACACATAGCTCTTGCCATGGCATCAGAACGATTCTGAGCTACTTACAGAATTGAATCTTTATATTAAAGTGTACTTTAAAGATTTTCCAGCGAGAATCCAAGAATTTTCTTTTCTCTTGCTCTTCATTCAATTCCTTGCCGCAAAATAAGCATAATTAATCCTTCTAAATAAAAAGCTGATTCATAATGAATTCAGTGATGTATACGTGGCGTACTTATGTTTGTTATGAAGAATACAACTTTTTAAACTGTTTGTAACATTATTTCTCAGAAACAGTGGCTCTTAGGAAAAACAGTATTAAAACTTCTTTTTTAGATAATTTTACGTTCTACAATTTTTGTCTGAATTAATTTTTAACAAAACTTACCATATTGTTAGAAATGCGTAAAAACCTATTTTTGTAACATTTGACCTTGAATACATTTTTTTTTCAACCGACTTCAAAAAGGAGGAGGTTCTCAATTCGACTGTATTTTTTTTATTTTTTTTTATGTTTGTTACCTCAGAACTTCGTCATTTATTAACCGATTTGGACAATTTTTGTTTTCTTTGTAAGGGTATACTTCCAGATTGGTCCCATTTAAATTTCAAAAAAATACCACCCCTAAGGGTGGAAAAATAGCTAATAATAAATTTAACCTACTTCTAATTGTCATATTGACCTGAAACTTTGCAAGTGTTTCTATTTCCGTTGATAGTACAGTGGTTTGGTATTGTTGACCTGATCTGATGGTAAGGCCAGAAGGTGGATAGGTGGAACTCTTCAACGGCTAATAGTAGATACTTTGAGTTTGGGCTTATTTTGTGTGATTTGACAAGCCTAACACGTTAGAATTCTTACTTTGCTACTACTGTCTACACTAAAAAGGGAAAAATAAAAACCGACTTCAAACAAAAGCACTAAAAAGTAAAAAATAACTGATTGGTAGTTTTCATTTACTATACATATCTAATCAAATATTTTCGAAGTCGGTGTGCTTTAGCTAAGTAATTAAAGCCTACCTATTAAATACATACCTAATCAAATATTTCCGAAATCGGTGCCAGCCCATACAAAGCAAAGCACACCGACTTCGAAAATATTTGATTAGGTATGTATAGTAAATGAAAACTACCAATCAGTTATTTTTTACTTTTTAGTGCTTTTGTTTGAAGTCGGTTTTTATTTTTTTGTTAAAAAGTTTTTATAATAATTATTATTTTTTGCGTAATAACGTTACATCCTCTCCATTACGCAACAGTATGTATAATTTTAAAGATATGGATGGTAATTATGATAATTTAACTTTTTTTTTTATTTTAGGTCAAAAATTCGCCATGTTAGAAATGAAAACACTCGTATCCAGTTTATTGAGGCGATTTCGACTGGAAGCAGTGACTAAGCCGACTGATCTAATATTTCGATTTGATATGATATTACGTAAAGAAGGAAATCCGATATATGTAAAATTTCATAAAAGAGAATGCTTCAAATGATAAATGTTTGTATTCAAAGAAAAGATATTTTATTTTAGTACCTATGCATTTGATATTATATTTTTAAAGGCGTTTTTTTAACAATCGTACTTATTATTCAATTCAGTTATTGATATTGTGCTTTTAGGCATGCTAGTTAAGCAAAATTTATTTCTCAAAAATGGAGGAATCGCAATGGAAATTGGCCGATCTTTAATTATTATTGTTATTATAAATTATAATACAACATAATAAAAACTTATTTTTCTTTCTTCTATTAAATCTATACTTGTAAATAAATTAAAAGTAAAGTAAAGTTTTTTGAGATTTTAAAATACAACTACTATACATGATACGTAACTAACATGATCCACGGCTTCACTCGCGGTATTAAACTACAAAAAAAACTAAAAAGTTAGGTTTCATACAAATTTTCGTCTCCTGTTTTACTCCTTTATGGGGCGAATTTTGAAAAATGCTCAAATACGTATTTATTTAATTGTGTTTGAAAGATTGTTGAGCATTAATACCACGTTTCAAGTAATTTTGATCATAAATATTTTTTTGGTTGTATTATAACGTGTTTTCTCGTGGGAATGAGATAATCTAACGCGTTAAAAGTAGCCTATTGACATAGGCTCTCTAGCTCTCCAACTATCTCCACACAAAAAAATCATGTCAATCCGTCACTCTGTTTCGACGTGAAAGGACAGACAAACAAACAAACACACTTTCACATTTATAATATTAAAATGGAAATATGGATGTTATCACATTCACGCTTAAGCAGAATATTGAAAAACTGATTTCGATTTTACATAGACATTCTACGAAAGCGAATTAATTCTACAAAATGGAAAGACGCGGACGGAGTAAATGCTAGTTTAAGAAAATTGAATTTGTTAGGTGTAAGTAACTACTTTAATAGATTTTACATTTTAAGATTCCGTATACAAAAGGAAAAAAGGAACCCTAAGGCTCTTCTCCCATAACTAAACATGTAGGATACAATACTCAAGTCGTATACTAGCTGAATACTTGTTGGCAACTCGACGTTCGCACATTACGCTACTGAGAAATAACAAAATGCTTCATTTGTTTTGTGCTTTTTTAATGAACGGATGATTTTTTTAACGGAGACGCGACGCGCGGACGACCAGGCACGGCGGGTCGCGCGCGACCAGTCACGGACGCGTACGATACCGGTACAATTAATGTATGTGCGAGCACCGATACAATCAATGTATGTGCGATACTTAGCGGCGATTAGTCGCCGGGACTAGCAAGATACTAGAGTCGCCTGGGCGTATCGTAATGGGAGAAGGGCCTTATAGGATCACTTCGTTGTTCGCCGTTCTGTCTGTCCATCCGTCTCTCGGTTTGACAAGATCCTTTGTCTCACTAACGCATGAAGGGTAAATGTCATCTATCTTTGTGCCAAATTTCGTCCAGATTCGTTCAGCCGTCCTGGCATGAAAGAGTAACAAACATCCATACATACTCACAAACTTTCACATTTATAATATTTGTACAGATTTAAAACAAAATCCTCATATGCTGGTGCCGCACTAAAAATTATTATTATATTAAACTTTACGTTTAGTAGAGATTTCACGAACGTGAGATATTTTCCCGCAGTAAAAAGTATTCCATACGTTGACCCGGATGGCCAGTTATCATCATAATAGATTTCATCAAAATCTGTCCAGTGGTTTTCTCGTGATGCGTAGATTCGGCCTTTGTATCGATAATAATGACTTTTTCAATAAGAATTTCCAAAAAATATTTAATTTACAGATGCGACTCAGAATTTTATTACCTGTATAGAAACATTATCTAATACTTTGTACTTAATACTTTTGCGGTAGGTATTTCATTTTCATTTGTATAAGCTTTGAACGGACGTATAGAAATGGGTGGAAATTGGATTAAAAGATTTTCCCTCAAATATAGATATAATACTTGCTGGCGGAGTGAAAATAAAAGCCTGTTTACAAGAAGAATCAAACTTTAATTGCGAAAGATAATTATTTTAAAATAACATGTAGTATTTTAATACTAAGATACACTTTTAATAAATAGTTACAATAGATAATAAATATTAGTCTCTATTGTAAAATCGTACGTATATCGGTTTTTCTGCCGTGCGTAGTAACATATCGGTTTTAAAAATAAGATCAAATGGTTTGGTCACTCCTTCTAGACGAAAGCGTCTTAATATACTCGACACAATTATTTTTATCTCTAACATGGCGAATTTTTGGCCTGAAAGAGCATAAAGATGGATATGTCATACATTTTTAGCTAATTTTTTGGCTATTGAGAATTCGAAGTAACTGTTAATTCAACAACTATATAAATAACTAGCAAGGCACAAACAGATCTATCCCACGGGAACCGTTCATTTTTCCGGGATGAAAAGTAACCTGTTGTTTGACTGGCAACATAAGGTATCAGCATGCCAAATTTTACTAAATTAGGTGTATAAGTTGTTGTGTACTAAGCTGTATAAGTTACTATAGTTTTTTAACTAGCCCACCGGAATTATTTAATTTTCTGGGGTGAAAAGTATCTAAAATGTTGACCGGGGATATAATACGGTATCACCATGCAAAATTTAATTTAAATTGCTCACACGGTACAAACAGACAAACAGACAGAGAAACAAAAAAATTGAAAAAAAAAACTGGTTTTGTTCTATTTCTCTTCTTACATTCCCCCCGACTCGTTTTTTAGTATATTTTTTTATGTACAGGCATTCAACCTCTACAGTTTTATTATACGTACAAATACTTGGTTAAATTAATTAAATAAAATTTAAATGAACAATTCGTTATTACAAAGATATGTTATTTCGAATGTGATCCACAGTGCTGTTTGTTTTGAAATTCAGTAATACTAGTAGATCTGTCTCGGAATTTGGTAAGTGAAAAGTCAGATCCAATATAATAATTATTTTTCTAGTTAGGTTAAAAAGCGATAGTAAAGCGAATGTTAGTTTTTACTAAGAATAGTTACCTGAAAAATATTTATACAGTTACTACATTAATGATCTGATGCCACTAATTTTAGGCCTATTTCAATATTACCTACATTTAGTAAAATCTTTGAAAAAATAATGTTAACTCAAATTACGAAACATTTTTATAATAATGAACTATTACATGTAAAGCAATACGGTTTCACTCGCGGTCGTTCAACAGCCGATGCTGGAGTCGCGTTACTTCTAAATATATTTGAGGCCTGGGAGGAGTCACGTGATGCACTTGGCATTTTCTGTGATTTGTCCAAGGCATTTGATTGCGTTCATCATGAAACGTTGGTCAGAAAATTACACCACTACGGAATTAGAGATAAGGCTCTGGATTTACTTAGATCATATTTGAATGAAAGAATCCAGAGGGTAGACGTGAATGGAAAGCGTTCCCCTGGATCAGTTGTTGAAATGGGTGTACCACAAGGTTCAATTTTGGGTCCTTTTTTGTTCCTCATTTATATAAATGACCTACCATACCTCGTAAAGGATGACCACGGGATAGTTTTGTTTGCTGATGATACATCTTTAGTTTTTAAAGTTAACAGACGACAAGCAGTAATTGACGATGTGAACATTGCTTTATCCAAAGTGGTACAATGGTTTAATGTCAACAACCTTTTACTAAACGAGAAAAAAACAAAATGTGTAAAATTCACTTTACCAAATGTTAAAAGTGTAAAAAACCAATGTACGACTGAATAATGAGGAACTAGATCTAGCTGATACCACTGTATTTCTAGGCATTACATTAGATGCCAAACTCCAATGGGGCCCTCATATTTCTCAATTATCGAATAAGCTCAGTTCTGCAGCCTACGCGGTTAAGAAAATACGTCAATTAACAAATGTAACGACAGCTAAGTTAGTATACTTTAGCTATTTTCACAGCATTATGTCATATGGTATTTTACTATGGGGTAATGCTGCTGATATTGACACAATTTTTGTGCTGCAGAAAAGGGCTGTTCGAGCTATATATAATTTAGGCCCAAGAGAATCTTTGCGGAATAAGTTTAAAGAAATTAAAATAATGACTGTACACTGCCAATACATCTATCAAAATCTAATATATGTACATAAAAATATTGATAAATTCAAGAAATATAGTGACCTGCATAATGTAAACACTAGAAACAAAAATAAGCTAGTTCAGCCCACCACTAGGCTCCATAAAATTGGTAATTCCTTTATTGGTAATAGTATTCGCTTTTACAATAAACTACCAGATGATACTTTAAAACTGTCAATAAATAAATTTAAAATTTACATTAAAAGACAATTAATAAATAAATCCTATTATAATGTAAAGGATTATTTAAGTGATAAAAAAGCTTGGGAATGAATTGCTCTTTATACTGAAGTAAGGATGTTTGTGAAACAATGATCACAATAAAAAAAAATGTTACTTGGCTGAGTTTCTTGTGGGTTCTTCTCAGACCAGGGCGCGTTACGAACCCTCGTAGCTTTAGTTTAAGTCTTCTAATTGACGTACACAAGTGATCATTGAATTGATACAATGTGTAAAAAGAAGTAAATAAAATAAAATAAAATAAATAAAATAGGTTTAAAAATTCACTTAGTTATTTTTTATTAAAAATTATACTAAATTTCATAAAAAAATGATATTATTATCTAGTATCAATTATTTATTTACCCACAAATGATAGCAAAACATTGCAAACATGTTCTCTTTTTGAAATCCGCCAAAATATTTATTGCTATCGATGTGTTTTTTTATAGAAATACACATTCGTAGTTGTATTCTTACCAATACAATTCCTGGGCCCAGCACTAAATGGTATATATGCATAGGGATGCCTCTTTTGAACATTTTCAGGTAAGAACCTCTCTGGTATGAAGCGTTCTGGTTCAGCATACAGATCTTCCCGACGATGTAAATCATATATGGATATAAAAATATGACAGTTTGATGGCACAACAAAATCACCTTATATAATAAAAAAATATTGGTTATAATTAATATTTACAAATTTAAAAAACCCATTTCCTACATGTCATCTCTATTCTACGTTACATGGCGAAGTAATATGTCCTCTAACTCACTAGAGAATTAAAAAAAATGTTATTTAGAAAATTATAAAAAAATATATATATTAAGAAAATTGTATATTTAATATATTAACAGTCTATTTCATTACTAAATTATACAATACTAGCAGAACCCGCGGCTTCGCCCGCGCTAAAACTACAAAAAAAGAACTCTAAAAATGTAGGTGTCATACAAACTTTCATCCGCTATTTTACCTCCTTATGGGATGAATTTCATGAATTTCAAAAAATGCTAAAATACGTATTTAATTAATTGTATTGAAGCATTAATACCAAGTTTCAAGTAATTCTGATCATAAATATTTTTTTTTGGGTTGTATTATAACGTGTTTTCCCGTGGAAATGAGATAATCTCCCGCGATATAAGTAGCCTTTATCACTCTCCAGCCCTCCAATTTTCTCCATACAAAAAATCATGCCAATAAAACACTTTGTTTTGACGTGAAAGAAGGACAAATAAACAAACAAACAAACACACTTTCACATTTATAATATTAAGTTTGGATATTAAGTCGACAACCGTTATTTTGCATTTGTTTTATATCCTACAATGCTCTCATTGTCTATCTCTCTCATATAAAATCGCTTACGATTGCAATACGAGGTGAATTTGTGTTTATCAAACAAAAGTTCTTTTCTCAAATTGGTTAAAATAAAGCAAGCCAAAGTAAAATAAACCAGTCAAAAGAGAATTTATAAAAAACAGTAAAAGATAACAAAAAAAAATTCAAACCTAATGGGACTTCTTCGGTTACGTACCGAACAATTATTGGGACACTAGGATAAAGCCGCAACGATTCCTTTATGCAACATTCTAAATATTTCATCTCGTTAAGATCCTCCATCGTCGGACACCGGCGTGAGTCACCAAAAATTTTTTGCATTTCTTCATAAATCTTTTCCTAAAAATTTTACCAATACGTAATATTATACGAAAGCAGAATATGTAATTGATTTAGAAAACGGATTAAAAATAAACTTGAATACTATATAAAATTATTACTAATACTATATAAAAAAAGGTTCTACGTTAGCAACACACATTATGCGTACCTTAAGGCAGATTTACACAGGGTCAGTAGCTGTCGTCAGTGCTGGCGCCAAAAACTGACTCATACTATTTACACGCAGTCATACATTTCGTCAGTAGTCAAGGATATTTCTTTTGGTGTTCACACGTTCATAAAGTCAGTGCAGAAAAATGACGGACTTCGGCATTTACACGGCATCAGTTGCGCTGGCACGGTTGGCGGGGGGAGCGGACTGACGCCAAAAATATGAAGCGCGAATATTGAAGTCAGTACTGACGCGACAGTACTGTACTGACTTGAAAATTATTAATTTACACGATGGCAGTGCCAGGTCAGCACTGACTCGGCAGTGGACTGACGTCAGTTACTGACTCAATGTAAAATTGACTTTAAGTTTAATCGCAATTACGTATGTATTGATTGAAGAACGCGTACTCTACAAATGCGTACAGATACACGTACTTGGATACAGTATATTATTTTTCATACAATTATTAGGTACTTAGATTTAAATAAAGAATTTTAACATGAAATTGAATGAATAATTTTATTTACTTCAGAATATTTCAAAATAAGCTTAAACTATATATTCAGCACTCTTACTTAAATTTCGAATTCAGGGCATATAAGGTATAATATTATAGACAGAGTGTCATAGAACTAAACATGAAGCCAAGCAACTTCGATCAACAATACTTCTAGATATCGGGTCGGCGTAAGAAATCCGTCTCGGTAAATACTAGTATAAGCTCACTTGCAAAGTGATATATTACGTATATTTAGATTAGTTCTATTTAAACACTGCAAACGTAAAGACTTTTATTGTATTTTAAGATTTAACCGACGAAATAATAAAAAAAATAAATTTTGAACAATTTTAAATCCGCTAAGAATGTTGGCCCATGTTGGCCAATACATACGCAAATTCAAAGAAGCAAACAGAACGAAACACAACGATTTAGCTCACAAAGCAAAAACGGGAAAAAGTGCTTTGTTTTTAAATATAAGGTTGATTTTATAATAAAGATTATAAAACTTGCGAAATAATCGTAAGTGTATGATGATAATTTGAAGATTTGTGACTTTATTACAAGGTGCTATGGAGTTGATTAGGTCGAAAATTAAACTATTATAAGACTTTGTCTTGGTTTGTTACATACAAATGAAGCTGTATAAGTGCATATTCGCGCGGACAGAATTTAGGTTTGATTTTCTATGTGACACGTTATCTAGTAGTATTGTTAATAAAAGCCAAGCAATAATGTTTTAAAATAGTAAACTAATGACAATTTGTATACTGAGTGATAAGTAAATAAATGTTAATAAATAGAAATAGCTAACGGATGTTATTATAATAAAGAAAAAAATATAAACTAATATTATGCTATTTCTCTTTCAAAGGAGAGGACTAATGCTTAAAAATATATTAAAAAAATTGTATAATTCCCAAAAATTATAAATTTATTCCTTTTTTCTTTAAAGAAAGTAAACCATATTAGTAAGTCTAGGTCAGTCTAAGTTTATTTTTCAACATTTTCATCGTGTGAACTTATTTGTTAATTAACAAAAAATGTTTAAATAATTGATCTATAAATTTTTGGAACCCTTCTTATAAGTATATAATATATGTATATACTTAACAAGACCACATCATGAAAGTTTAAAAAATGTCTGTGTTTTGTTTATTATAATTTAAAAAAAGGTGTACAAAAAAATAAATATTTCAAATATCTTTTTTGGCGGGTTTTTTACATTATTTGACAGGCCATATTTAATTTTTTAGTCTGAGTATTAACACTTACTTGTACTTTGGTCTCGTTAGCAATACTCATAAGTAAATAAATTAATGCCTGCGCTGTTGTATCTTGACCCTGGAAAATTATACACATTATAAATTTAGGGGTTTTATCATAAAATAATTTTTAAAAAGTTAATGATTAAATGTGAAAAAATAATATGTCTAAATCTGTGATAATATATGAGCAAATACAAACAACAATCTGTAATACTTTCTTAGATTTACGCGAATATTTGACATTTCAAAATAAAACTATCTTTTCGGATTATTTCGCGGATTTATTTTGATTTTTGGTTCCCGACATTTCGAATGCTTAACAGCAATCATGGTCACGGGAGAGACTAAGGTTTTAGATATCTCAAAGGCGTCATATACTTGTTACAGGTTATAAAAAGTATATAACGATGATAATAATAACTTACAAGACAAAGAAAGTTTTATTTTGAAATAATATGTAAAAAATACCTCAAACATAAATGTATCTACTTCCTCCCTTATTCCTACAGTATCTATATTTCCAATCTTCTCATTTTCGAGTAGCAAATCTAACATAGCTAATCTTCCTTTCTTTCCATAATCTTCTGCGTCATCGAATGCATTGATATTATTCTCGTTTAAAAAAATCCTTCTCTCTCTAATTATTCTACTAGTAAATACGTGTAAATCTTTGAGTGCCTTCTCTTGAACTTTGGCTCTATTCGATAGTTTAAAAAGAAAATCTGAATGTAGCCAAATCCTGCACAACCTTTCTATGACAGATGTTCCAACAACTTCTATAGCTTTTGAATATTTATTTGCTACAGATTCAATATCGTCTTTCATCGACGTACCCATTGCAGTCTCTGTGAAGTCGTTAAAAGAAGATATTATTTATAAAAAAATTGTTAAAAACTGGACGCCATCATTAAATGCATTTTTTACTAATCTTAAAACACCCAAAAAGAGTTTCGTTATTTGTTTAGGTCCTATCTACTAAACAAAAAGAGTCAAAGAACTTAATCATAACAAATAATGATTTATGTTTGTTGTCTCACGACGCATTAACCTTTTATGTTATGACGGAAAAAAGGTGATAATACATGACTCGTGTTTCATGATTTTTAACACAAATAGAAACGCATACTGTATTTGTCAGACTAGGTAATATTATAATTGCGAAAATATATACGTGTATGTATATTTGTTACTTATTAGTGCTGAAACGACTGCACATACTTGGATAAACTTTAGTACACTGATGGACAATGACCTGAAGTAACACATAGGCACCCGGAACGCACCCGAGCGAAGCGAGGGCTAGTCTCTATCCTTATTATGTGTTTAGGTATTCCAGTACCAGTTTAGGTGTACCAATTTTAACTGGTATACCTAATATAAGATATTGAGTGATTATCGTACCTAACAAACTACAAAGTACCTACATACACAGATAACAAAAAAGTGCACATAAATTGAATTTTAGTTAAACTTTATATTGTCATTTTATTATAGTTGTGTATTTATTGTTTTTTAACTTTGAAGCTAGCTAGTTGTAAATTAATAATAAATCTTTAAAAAACATTTAGTAGGTTAGATAATAGCATCACACATGTACATACATATATTAAAATTCTCTTGGTACATTCAATGTACTTTATTAATATACATATACGAATTACTCTTGGCATAGAGAATGTGATGTTTTCTTTTTGATTCAACACATTGAAAAAATCACAGATATTTAAAAAATCCCTAAATTATAACTAGGACTATAATATAGTCCAATCGGTATCCGGTTTGGGAATAAAATATTGAAAACCTGAAGTTTTATGATTTTTAAATGTTAGCAGAAATAGAAATTTGTAAAATGGGGGATGGACGCAATGTGCTGTAAAATTTTTCTTCAATTTCCGGCTTACTGTGACATTCTATCGAAAAATGATTTGATATTGTGTAAAAGTTGCAAGTCTAGTAAAAATTTACAACTTAATAAATAACACTTTTTACAATAACCTAAAAGTTTTCGAGATATTTGCAAAAAACTGGGGTTTTAACTTTTTCTTGGTTATTTATTTTTAATTTCTAGAATAATCTTTTGATTTTCATGAAACTAAGGGAATGTAATCTTATCTTATAATCAACATTTTTCGATAGAACATCACAGTAAGCCGGAAATTGAAATAAACTATTTTTCAACGCTTTGCGTCCCCCCATTTCTCGGGGGTAGCTGAGCAGAGAGGGCATTTTACGAATTTTTATTCCTTATATACCTGCTAAAATTTTAAAATCATAAAACTTCAGGTTTTCAATAAAAAAAATTCTCTTAAAAATAAACGGATTCCGATTGATCTAATATTATTTAGTAAGAAATGATTTAACAAACCACACATGACTCGTAACGTCGTAGCATTAATCAACGGTGTTAAGTCTGTTTTATGCTCTCCAACTTTCTCTTGTACTTTGACCAAAAAATCTTCTGTTTTTTCCGTGAACGTCGCAAAGTATTTTTTCAAAATATTAAAATGAAACGCCTGAGTTAATAACTTACGTCGTTGATGCCATTTTTGTCCTGCGCCAAAGGAAATATATTTACATGCAAAAATGGGATATATTAAAAGGTGGCAAGATGTGCCTAACATATTACAAAAATTACACTATTATTAAAACTTTCCTAACTAATTTCGCTTACGGCTAACAGTGGCCAATTTCATTGGGCAGTAGAACGACAAGTTGACATGAGGAGAAAAATCAGATGCAGGGCCCATGGTTTAACGTTCTATCTGAGGCATAGTTTTGTAACCTAACTTGGATTGCCAACAATTTGATTTCTTATCGGAAGACCCCAAGAAAGGGGTCGCCCTTTTATTAATTTTAAGTTTTTCACGCAAACTCTAGTCCAGACGCTCATGATGTTCAACCGGATATGATAGCCTAAAGTTATATTTGAAGTTTTACCGATTAAGTTAGTATTTACCATTGCTAATCAAAAGCCCTTCTCTTAGCCAAGGTCTAAGGAAATTGTATGGAATACTTTTTTCGTTGTAACGATTTGATGACAGGATAACCTGGTATAAAACAAAACACATTTTTTTATTATTGATAATATAATAAACAAAATAAGACTGAAATGGACGTATTTGAATTAGATTAGATAATTAAAATATTTACAAGTTACATATTAGCTCTTCTCCTCTCTTCTTTTATCTGGTACTTCTTATGTGTTGCTATATTTAGCAGAGATAAGGTGACCATAATATTACGTGTTGCAACATAACGTTAGGTATATTTGCATTAATAATTATTAAACAATAATAATATACAGACATTTAACGTGAATGTAGCATATATTTACATGGCACTGCTTACTCTATCTTGGTCATGGGTACTACTCCTTTATGGAATGATTTTATGTAATTTATAAAAGGTAATTTGGATGAATCTCTGGGACTGACAAAAATAAGATATTATAAAAAAAGTTTTATTTTTGTTTTTAAATAGTAATAAATAATAAAAACAAACATTTAAAAATACCTCAATAAGTTCTGGGTCTAGAATACCAATAGCTCGACCATTGATGGCATGAAACTGGATTATACAACCGTATTTTCTGAACAAGTGCCTTATATATTTGAATATCTCGACTGAAACAAAATTATACTTATATAAGGATTAATAAAAAAAATATTATGAAATATTGTCCCGTACAAATAAATATACAAGATATTAATTTCATAATACAATACTTATAATTAAAGTCTTAACTAAACACTATATTTACTAATAAATAGGATTACATGCCTAAACAAAATTAATTCTATTTTTTTTTCTGTAACTTATTTCAAAGGTAATCAAAATGTTATAATATGGACTTTTTAAAATAAAACAGTTTTGTGTATACACATATATTATTACTAGCGACTCACCCTCGCACCGTTTGAGTTCGTCCCTGGTGAAAATTTAGATTTGTATGTATTTTTACTGCCGAATCATAAAAATAAATCAATAAATTTTGTCAAAAAAATTTTTTTTAAGATGGACCACCTTTATCACTTTGGAGTATGAAAGACAGTTTACGTCCTATTCTCAGACCTACTGAATACACACTGAATACAAATACACACAAAATTTCATAAGAATCGGTCAAGACGTTTTGGAGCAGTATTATTATATTACGGTTTAATTTTTAAATTTAATATTTTTTATTATTATTTAATTACATAGCTACTATCACAAAGCACAAAGTTATAGCTATATTTTGTCAATAGTCTTCTATGTCAATAAATGGCTGGAAAGTAAAGACGAATAAAAACACATTGTCAGACAGAATTAGTGTATACTAAAATACTTTTAAACTTATAATTCACTAGCGATTAACCCTCGCTCCTCTCGGCTTCGTCTGTAGGAACGTTTTCACGGCTAGTATAGATTTCTCAGAGATGAGATATTTTCCCGCAGTAAAAAGTATCCCTTAATACGTTGACCCCATTTTTTTTTTACGTTGAGAAATGCATTTACGCACGAGGTATGGGACTCACCGGCAAAGCCAGTACCAGTTATTCGAGACTATAATTTATCTCTGTACCAAATTTCATCCAGATCTGTTCAGCCGTTCTGGCTTGAAAGGGTAACAAACATCCATACATACTGACAAACTTTCACATTTATAATATTATATAATACGGACATTGAGTAATGGATGTGACAATATATTACTACAAAAAATATATTCTTTTAACGCTGCTACAACTTTTTCTAATATATATGTATATTGTATACATATTATGTAATATAACATATTATATTATGTAATATAAGCTCCTCAAAGCCTAACTCCAGGTCCAAATACAATATCTTTGCTACGTGAGGGATTGAACATCGAAGTCTGTGTGTAAGACGTCAGCTTAATCGACGGTCAACGGAGCTACAGCAGCACCTTTAATATGAAGAGACTTTTAAGGATAAATACACGTGTAGGATCGACCATGAGTACTTTTATAAACGAGGGTTAAGAAAATTAAAATGGTCACCAGAGGAAATGCAAGAGTTAATATACTGTTATTTTAAAGCTAAATTAGAAGTACCAGGATAAACGGTAAAACTTCCACAACTTTTTTCAATAGAAAAAAAAATCCATGAAGATGGCAACACATATTCGAATCAGGCACGTAGGATAACGAAACAGAATGTATAACCGAAAAGCACACTAGACACAATACAAAAACACAATAGAAAATCACAACTAGCAAAATATGAGGAAACGGACTATATCAGTAAACTGGAAAAAAAATCTACCAATTTAAAAATGTACAGATTTAATGGAAATACGTTATCTAACCAAGCAGGTGCAATTTTAAAACAAAACCTTATTTCTCAAGAACTACTGAATCGTATCTCACTCCAATGACACAAACACAAAGTCAACTTTAGTTTTAGATAATATCATAGCAGAAACCAATGAACAAAACATTTCAAACATTTAGAGTAGCGGCAGCTCCAATTCAGTGACGAAAATGACGAAAAGAAGAGAGGTCGTTGTCCAATTCCAACAATGTGTAGCCGAAACAAAGGAAATACCTATCGAGGAGCGCAGTTACCTACCAAAAACGAAAATCAATACAAAATTTAACAATAAAAACGAAAACTATTTGCTATAATTTAATACTTTTGGAAAGTAATTACACTCTCCGATACACTAATGACATAAATTATTCCGCCGCGAGAACTTTAATAGTTAACAACAACCAACATCCTTACTCGTCTAGAAGCAAAATAAAATCGCATTCAGTCCATGGAAAAATAGGATAAAAGTAAAGATAGAACGTTTGAGGAAAGAATTAGGACAGATAGTGGAAATTCAAAAGGAGTTAAAGGAAAATGATAAAGATCGAGGATAAACTATACGCAAAATATAACGTTCAGAATCATATCTATACTAATATTATTAGGAGGAAAGATTTGATTTTTTGTTTATTTGTTTGTTTGTACCGAGTAGGCTCCGAAACTACTGAACTGATTTAGATGAAATTTGGTAAGAAGATAGTTTGAGACCCTTGAAAGGATATAGGATAGTTTTTATCTCGGAAATCATCCCTTAAGGGGGTGAAAATGGGAATGAAATTTTGTATTGGGAATCTACCAAGGGACGAACCCGAGCGAAGTGAGGGTGAGTTGCTAGTAGAACATTAAAGTAGAGAAGAAATACTGAAACAAAGAATAAAAGCTCTGGCAGGAAGAATAAAACGATATGACGAAATAAATAAGAGAACATAACAGAATAAATTTTTTACAGAAGAACATACGTTACATAGAAGTTTAGATATCCACACACTATAAAAATAAGCAGCATTACATTCTTCTGCCATAATTACTAAAGTAGTCAACATACTATTCATCTACATCTCAATCAACGATACAACCATCATCCGATTAGCACTCATTTGCAAGTCTTTCATCCATATCTCACGCTCATACTCAAGCATAGACCGTTCCATTACAATCTTAATTACAACATTAAGCTTCTAATTTTACGAGTAAATGGGGGATAGAACAAGACAAATTACACTAAGTATACTTTCTCCAGAGAGTCTCGAGACGGGATATTTAGATAAACTGATAAAATCGTGAAAAGTCAAGAAACTCATTAGTGTAATATAATAAAATAACTTACCCGGGTTTTGGATAAATTTGTAAGAATTTCCTACGATGGGCAAACCTTCTGGTCCTGGTATTTTCATTATCAGTTTTTTCGCTCTGTTGTATCGGTCATATAAAAATAGTCCCAAAGCTAAGAGAAGAATAAATACGAATGAAAACATTTCTTTATACGTGTACACAGTGCTATAAGAAATGGTAAATTAACTGAGATAATCGAATCACTAATGTAATGTGTATTAAAAGTGTTTTATTATTGCAAGAATAAATAGAGATATAAAGTTTTTATTCAAGTCATTTTGTTATCATATATTACACTAGCGACTCACCCTCGCTTCGCTCGGGTTCGTCCCTAGGTACCTTTTAAATTAAAATGGATATAATATGTTATCCTTAAGAGATAGACATAGGCCATCGCGGACTTTTATGTAGACTTTTATAAGATACATAAACCCACAATACATTATTTTATTATATCTCAAAGGGTTTAGGCAGCGTTTTTGTTGAAAGCTCCCAGACGGCTTATTTTTTTTCGACACCTCCAACAAATATCGTTATATATTAGCCAATGTATAAAAAACTTAACAAATTATATATTAAAACCTTCCTCGAGAACCACTCTATCCATTGGTGAAAACAGCATGGAAATCGATGCAGTAGTTTTTGAGTTTATCGCGAACAGACACAGACAGACGCGGCGGAGGACTTTGTTTTATAATATGTAGTGATCTTACAGGTCAATTGCGAGTAATCATGTTTTTATTATACTAAATCACTTTTATTATACTAAACAATTTAAAATGTGAAAATCGTCTCGATTTTTTTGTATCTCTCTAGCCTCTTTTCTATTCTTTAGTATGTCAACTTCAAGAAAAAAATAAAAAAGATGTTAATATTTATGTTCAGAAGTCGCTCAACGAATTTGGTTTTTTTTTTAATTTTGAGCGACCTCTTAATTTTTTTTGAAGTTATTCTTTTTTAAGTTAGCTCATAACTGTTTGTTGCCATGGTACCCGTTGTTAATGTCTGACAAATGATATATAATATTATATATTTCCTTAAATGATATTCTATAAATATATGATTATAATATGCCTTATTATATATTCTTATTAATTTATCATAGATTATAATAAAATTGTATCTTAGCCGAATCCGTACATTAAATATTTTTTGGAAAATCTTATTGAAATAGACATTATTAATCGATACAGAGGCCGTATCTATAGTTTTTAGAATTTTTGTCTGTCTGTCTGTTACCGCCTAACAAATAAGCACTGGAGATTTTGATGAAATTTGAAGTATTTTGATAGCTGGTTATCCGGGTCAATATAGGACTTTTTACCGCGGGAAAATATCTTATTTCTGAGAAAAAATACAAAAACTGGTTAGAAAAAAATCATGATGATATTAGCAAACATTTTAGCAAGGTAACTAACTAAATACGACATAAAACTGTTAAAAATAGCTTATCTTGAAAAAAAGTTATCAATTGCGGTATTTTATTCATTAAAATAACTCAAAAAATAAAAATTATATGTTATTTTAATATTCGTTGGTAGATGTCGCCATGTGTTTTTAAAATACGTAGTTTTAATATCAAATTGAATGTACGAATATGACCATTCTATGATGTTATTAGAATTACTACTAATTACCCGCGGCCCTGCTAGTATTGAAATCTATATATATAAAAATCAATTGCTGTTCGTTAGTCTCGCTAAAACTCAATTACGGCTGAACCGATTTGAATAATCCTTTTTTTTGTTTTATTGAAGGTATATCAGAAATGATTTATAAATAAAAAAAAATAGGAAAAACCCATAAGAACGGATGGAAAATCGAAAAGTTCAGAACTGGTTTTTTTGTATGGGAATCACTTCTTCGGATTCCTTTTAATAGAGGTGGACCTACCATCTACAACAATACGTCAAGTTTAAGTTGGAAAAAGATAATATATGTATATAACAGTATCCCCCCCAACGTGCGTTCACCTTGTCGTGGTGGGGGGGGCTCAGTAGTGCCCGGCAATCCAACCGGGCGCGAAGCTAAGAAACGCACAGGGAGGTTGCCCACTTCGGTGGGCGATGGGAGGTGGCCCTCTTCGGGGGGCGGTGTACCATGTGGGTTGTTCCTGGTACTTCTCTGATAGCAGAGTGGACCTTGGAGCAGCCCCATGGTTGTGGTGGTCTGCTTTGGCAGACCTGCCGTCGGGGCGTCGTAGTTGAATGCATAAGCGATCCTGCGACGCCCCATTAAGACGGGGGAAGGTTTTGTTGGGTTTTAGTGGGTAGTACTGGCTGTATTACGCCGGTGAGTCCCACACGTCGTGCGTAAATGCATTTCCCAAAGTTAAAAAAAATGTATATAACAGTATATAGTCTATCTATTCTATACCAATCGTTAAAACGTACCCGAGCGAACCCGAGCGAAGCGAGGGTGAGTCGCTAATTATCAATAAAACAAACTTTTTGGCTTTACAAATTATAGTAACATATTAGTACTTTTTTTTAACTGACATCTACGTTATTTTTAAAGATGCACTGTTATGTACATCTGAAACTTAAATTCTCCCACTTTTCTCTCCTTCTTTAAGTTACTTTAAAGTGCCATTCTTATTTTATTGACTAAAGAATTTGCTCAGTTTTAATTTCCATTGAATTTATATGTTGTCATGTGTATCGAATTTGTAATTTTATTTGTATATATATATATATATATATATATATATATATATATATATATATATATGTTTATATTATCAAAACAATAAAAAGTAAACAATAACTGAAAGGGAGTTTTCATTAACTATAGATATCTAATCAGCTATTTTGGAAGTTGGTGCCAGCCGATATAAATCAAAGTAAAGCTTATATAATAAATTGATGTACAATATTTTAAACGATATGAAATTAAAATTCATATTGACCTATTAAATATTCGTATCTTAAAGCATTATCGGCTGACACCGACTTCGAAAATATCTGATTAGGTCCAATTGGAATCCGGTTTAGGAACAAAATATTGAAAACCTAAAGTTTTATGATTTTAAAATGCTAGCAGGTACATAACAAATAGAAATTCGTAAAATGCCTCCTCTGCCCAGCTACCCCCGAGAAATTGGGGGGATACAAAGCGTTGAAAAATGGTTTTTTTTTTTCAATTTCTGGCTTACTGTGATGTTCTATTGAAAAATGTTTTCTATAAAAGTTGTAGGTCTAGTAAAAATCTACAACTTTTATAAATAACAACATTTACAATAACCTTAAAGTTTTCGAGATATTTGCATAAAACTCGGTTTTTAATTTTTCCTTGGTTTTTTATTTTTAATTTCTAGAATAATCTTTTGATTTTTAAGAAACTAAGGGTATATTCATATAATACATATAATAAATAAAAAAGAAATGAAATTAAAATGTTTAGCTATTTCTGAGAAAAGTGTGTTTTATGGTCTCGAGAGGCTGAAAATTACCCTCAACCTCAAGTGGACGTTTACATTTGAAACATTTTTCGTTAAATTTTTAGATAGGGTTCTTTCTTTTTGTCTTGAGCTCAATTTTTTGAAGAAATAAAAAAAAGTTCAATTTTTTGAAGAAATAAAAAAGGTTTTCCTGTAAAAACACCCTTGAAAATTAAAAAAAAATTGGAGAAATCGATAAATTTTACTTTGTAAACTACATTTTTATTTTAATTATATTTTCTATTTTTTAAGCACTCATCAAATGACGTCATGAGCTTCAAAATTTCATCTAGTTTATTATCACTAGGTTTGTTTGCAATGAGGAATAGTTCTTGAGGTAGGATTTTGCTGGTTGTTAGCAGGTGGTTTTACACTGGTAACATGTTGTTGTCGCATAACTAATGGTTTCTTGTCAGTCTTATTTCTTGGTTTTTTTTCTCGTCAGTGCCATATTCAGCAGGTTGAGAACAAGTCTCCATTTTTGACGAAGAAGTAGTTGTAGTTTTTGGTTCAACAGCGCATTTTAGCTGCTGTTTAAGACTTTCTATTTGATTTTTTAGGTCTTTTATGAGAATTTGCAGTTTGTCCCGTTCTTGCCGTTCTTGTTTGTATCGTGTATGTTCATTTGTTAAACGATCATACAACATATTATGTTCCGTTTCAGTTTATTGCTTTATTAGATTGCGATTATTTAGATGGCGTATCTATTGCTTAGGTAGGTGATAAGCTTCGCCTTAACAATATAATTCGTCATCAGTAAGCATGCCTTACGTAATAAGTAACTGAATCATTGCACTTCAGCCGTTGCGACGGCTTGTTGTGCTACCACTGCATGCATCCATAGTGCACTTTGCACTGTTGGTACTCGCGGTCACGGGTAACACAACTGTTCTTGGCAAAAATTGAACGATCACTTTACAATTACAATCACAGTGGTGGAGAACGATAAATCAGTTTTCATACTTACACTTTGAAAAGTAGCCGTATCCAGCATCGATATAATAATGTTTGTAGTTGCTTTTGCAAGTGGATTTCTATGTATAATTTTTCTAGCGTGCTTATGTGATAGATTTAGAAGAACAAGAAGACTTATGGTAAAAATACCAGGCGACATCAGTTGGCCTATCGTTGGCAACATAATATATTGCCTAAAATCACCTGGTAAGTTTTGTAAACTATTCATAACATAACTATTTCATGTAATTAAAATATATGATATAATATAAATATGTAAACTATTATCATGTAAGTATGAATAAAGACAGTGGTGTTCATAAATTATATTTGAATATAGTTAAATATTTTCTTTTAGGGCACTTCGCTTGATTTATGTATTACTTATTTATTTTTTAGTTGAACTGTTTCGATATGTGCGGTTGGTGTTCAAAAAATATGGACCTATCTATCAAATGCACGCTATAAATTGTCAAACCGTAGGAATAGTGGACCCTAAACTTGTTGAGGTAATATATTTTACTAGTAAAAAATATCCTATATGGTTACCCAGATAACCAACTATCATCATCCCAAATTTCATCAAAATCTGTCCAATAGTTTTCTCGTGATGCTGTCACAGACAGAAATACAGACAGACAGACAAAATTCTAAAAACTATAGATTCGGCCTCTGTATCGATAATAATGACTATTTTTATAAGATTTTCCAAAAAATATTTAATGTACAGATTCGACTCGGTTATAATTTTATTATGTGTATAGATAGTACATACATTTTTTTAACATGGTTGCGAGGGTCGAAACATTGAAATTAATAATTATTTTGAAGAAATAGGAAGTTTCCATAAATACAGGCAAATATGTAATATTTTATAAAACACAGTTTTTGGTCTGCTTGACCCGTTTGTAAGTTGCATATTTAAAATACATGATAAGATAAAATGATTTATAATAGATAACCTTATTATCTACGTATGCCTGCTTGTACATTGCTTATATTTAAAAAATATAGTTCAGGGGACTGATAAAAAGTAATTTCTATCGTTTTAGAATTTGTGTTTGTAATATTTTAAATTAATGATAACATCAAATATATGATGCATATAAATAAAATAATTACAGTTAAAAGTTGTCTAATTCATATTACAATATCGTTTACATACAAGTACTTTCGTAACGAAAAGAGATGTCCCTAAACCGCGATTCCTACTAAAAACATCACCACGTCTGAGGACTATCCCTTTTCAATGAAGGAGGTGATACCTACTCCTTTCTACGCGACACATTTTTGTGTTTCTGACATCCATTCGAACGAAGTCGCAGACAAATAAGTAGTATTTAAATAAAACTATCTTTCAGATATATTCCCAGATTTATTTTAGTTTTTGATTCCCGACGTTTCGAATGCTTCTATGCTTTCTATCTTAAGCATATTTGCACCTGCACGTTGTAAAATGAGATGCGCAAAAACTAAACATCTTGTTTCGTTTAATGATAGTCTACATAAGGATTAGTACTTTCAAGGGGCATTTCGTTTTTCTCACGTTGAACAATTAATACAAAAAAAAGTTTAAAATTGTATAGATTCTTAATAAATGTCATTAATAGTCGTAAGTCTTTTGCCTATCATACGCGGGTAAAGCCTTTTACTGCACTCTTTGTACTTTATTTTATTTGTCTGTCTTATTCATCTAATGACTGGTATGTATCGCTATAGATTTGGAGGTCCAGGGCTCGAGCCCCAGGTCGAACCATGTATAGCTATTGGTTTTTCTGTGAAAAAAATCTCTATAACAGCCCAAAGTCACAAACTTTCACTTATAATAAGTCCAGTAAGTTTTTAAGATACTTTGTATCATTTCAGATTATTTTATCTTCACCTCGGTATAATGAAAAATATATACCTTATAATTTCCTTAAACCATGGTTAAATGAAGGTTTACTAGTAAGCAATGGTAAGTCATACGTCAATTTTATTTTAAAATTATTGATGATGTTATTACTATGCAAATATACACAAAATTGTAAATACCGATTTAGTTAATCATCCTCTTTTTATTTATCTGCCTCTTTTTAATATTAGTATAGATTAATAAAAGTAATACATTGCGTTCATAAAACATGACGAGCACTAAATCTATTTTATATACTTAGGGTTAAAAGTAAAAAAGGTGTAGAGCACCTGTTGAGGTTAATTTCATGTTGGGGATTAAGCTCAAAATTATCACATACATTACAAAAACAATTTTAACACAGTATACATGGTCTTTTGCATAAGAGAAGATATTAAAACCCAAACAAAATTTTCCAAAAGAAAATTTATACATTTAAAAAATTAAATGTATGTAAAATTATGGCAAAATAATTTTAAGGTAAGACGTCTTGTATGGACGCTTCGCCACTAATATATTTTTTGCTTTATATATATATGTATATATATATGTTTATATATATATATATATATATATATATATATATAAAGTGTACAAAAATTCAGATTAGTCAGAGTATGGGCTATTTGAAAGTTTATCCAGATTCTGCAAACTAGAACTTACAGAACTTAAAACATAATAATATATATCTTTATTATAGGCAAAAAGTGGTTTCATCGACGTAAACTACTAACGCCAGCGTTCCATTTCAATATTTTAAAAAGGTTTACAATGACTTTTACTGAAAAAACTCAAATTTTTTTACAACTACTAGAAAAGCAAGTCAGCGAAGAACGAGTGAACATAATACCCTTGATCACTTCTACAACGCTTGAAATTATGTGTGGTATTTATCTGCATTTTATACTTTATTTTATATAGCGTTTATTTATTATCTCCATCTCTGTCTCTCTCAAATCTTAAACTTTAAAGATCTTACTAAATCCACATTTTCAATAATTTTCACAGAAACTGCAATGGGAACCTTAATGCAAGATGATATGAAGTCTGTTGCAAATAAATATTGGAAAGCAATAGAAATCATAGGCTTATCAGTATTCAATAGACTTCGAAATCCATTAATACATTCCAATATCATTTATCAATTGACGAACAATGCTAAGACACAAAATAAGGCACTAGCAGACGTGCACTTCTTCACAACAAGAATAATCCAAGAAAGAAGAAATTTCTTAAAATATAATAATATAAATACTTTTGGTGACAGCAAAGATTATGGAAAGAAAGGCAATGTGGCAATGTTGGATTTACTCCTTCAGAATCAAAAAATAGGAAATATAGATGACGCCGGTGTTAAAGAGGAAGTTGATACCTTTATGTTCGAGGTACGACTAAAAGTGAACTGAATGATGTAGTTTTATACAATTAATTACAAATAACAATGAAACTGGAATTAATTCGTAGATAAATTAATAAGTACAACAAACAGTATTTAAAACCCGTACATGTTAAAGGTGCAAAGTTATTCCCATAAACGTTAAAATAACATAAAATTAAATATAGCGCAGGTTAAAGAGCCACCCCCCCCAACGTGCTTTCACCTTGTCGTGGTGGGGGGGCTCAGTAGCAGTAGCGAAGCTAAGAAACGCACAGGGAGGTTGCCCACTTCGGTGGGCGGTGGGAGGTGGCCCTCTTCGGAGGGCGGTGTACCATGCGGGTTGCTCCTGGTACTTCTCTGATAGCAGAGTGGACTGTGGAGCAACTCCATGGTTGTGGTGGTCTGCTTCGGCGGACCTGCCGTCGGGGCGTCGTAGTTGAATGCGTAAGCGATCCTGCGACGCCCCATTAAGACGGGGGAAGGTTTTGTTGGGTTTTAGTGGGTAGTACTGGCTGTATTACGCCGGTGAGTCCCACACGTCGTGCGTAAATGCATTTCCCAACGTTAAAAAAAAAAAAAAAAAAGGTTAAAGAGCCATATTCTTTTGAAAGCATGGGTATCTTTAGTTCTTTAGAAGGAATTTTAATTGTCTACTATGTAATTATTATTTTAATTCCTGGCTCGTTTGAACATAGTTTATTAAACAAAATTTTTGTGTAAAATAAAATTTGCAGAATTTATCCTCCATTAATTGGCATAGTTTAAATAAATTAAAAGTAAAAATATTTTTTTTATTTGAAGGGCACTGCAAGTTAAAAGGAGCAATTAAATAATGTTTTTGACAATTTTTTAATTTGTATACTACAATTTCTAGACGATTTTGAGAAAAGCCGTTATGAAGGTAATAAAACCCAAAATTGGAATATTTTTAGGAAAAAACACAATCGCTTACCTACTTTATATTTCGGCTCTTCTTAAGACTAAGCTTCGTCTGGAATCTGCTTTTTGGAAATTCCATAACTTTCCAACTACTAACAGATGAACATTCATGGGCGTTAAATTGATAGGTATTCTACCACCAAAATGTACCTACTCCTGTTACACCTGTATGTGTATATAGCACGAAAGATTTTATATCTTTAATTTGAAGATATTATGCTGTATTTACCTAAATATAGTAACTACTAAGCGTAACTTTATTTGTGTAATTTATTTATTATTATATCATAATTATTTGACAGGGACATGACACAACGGCGCAAGCAATAATTTACTTGCTAATGTTGATAGCAAATGAGACTACAGCTCAAGTAAGTCGAGCATATTGTGTTAAAATTATTTATACTATACTACTTGCTCAACTAGTGATAGTGAGATATTGTTCTATGCGGTGCTGGATTCTAAAGGCTTGTTTTCCTGTGTAGTATATTCTGAGAGGGAAGAAGGTAGAAAGAATGGTCTAAGCGAAATGAGAGAGGATCCCTAGTGAATTATAATAAACTAGCGGACCCGACAGACGTTGTCCTGTCTACACGTCTTTAATTTGAAAATTTCAAACTTTTTTTAATAATTTTTTTGATGAAAATTATTATTCAAATTGTGAATCTAAACAATTCCCAGATCCCCTTGAACACACACAAAAAATTTCATCAAAAACGGTCCAGTCGTTTGAGAGAAGTTCAGTGACATACACACTCACAGAAGAATTATATATATAAAGACTAGCGGCTCACTTCGTCTTCATCCTTATGTTGATTCCCCATACAAACTTTCATCCCCTTAAGGGATGATTTCCTGGACAAAAGGTATCGTATGTCCTTCCCAGGGTCTGAAACTATTTTCTTACGAAATTTCATCTAAGTCGGTTTAGTAGATGATCTAGAGATTACCCCCAACCACGTCAAACGCACAATTTCACAAACTCACAAACTTTACCTCTTTATAATATTAATATAGGAATCTCAATAGTCTTCTTAAAGACTTAACGTCAAAGTCAACCATTCATTCTCCGTTGAACATTCTATTCTGATTAAATTTTTTACAAGTAACAACACTGGTAACTTTTATGACATGAAGTAAATAGTAGGTACCTAACTAGCATTTCAACAATTCACAATTCTTAGGAATATTATATAGCTGTATCACATCTGAGAGTAAATCATGTCGATAAGTTCGTTGTTATTTCTCAATAATTTTATTTCAAATTTCAGAACAAGATTTATGAAGAAATGAAATATATATTTGGTGATTCACAACGGACACCAACGATGGAGGATCTACTCAATATGAAATATTTAGAATGCTGCATAAAAGAAAGTTTACGGCTTTACCCAAGCGTACCAATAATTATGAGATATTTAAAAGAAGAAACAACTTTAGGTTAGTAAATAATTTGCATGATGAGATGTAAAGATAGATGAAGCGGCTCCTTAAATAATATATTTTAATAAAATATAATACAGGGTATTTTATTTTTAGATACTTTCTAAAACAACTGCTCCACTGACCAGATTTAAAATTTCTTACCTAATAATAATTTTAATTTTACATTTTAAGTTAAAACGTCAATCTAAAAAGTACCACTAAAACATTAAAAAAAGAATTAATTTAAAGAAACCTACTTCAAATTACACGAATTAATGCAAAAACTTAATTAAAAATAATGTTTCTTCTACTCTGTACTTTTAAAATTTTAATTTCGGATCGCTAAACATATATAAAAATACTAAGTGAATACTAAAACTAATGTAGATATAGAAAATTTGTATGTGAATGTCATAGAACAATACTCACTAGATTAGGTACGAAGGTAATAAGAAAATATTTTGGCCCGACTTCAAAATATTAGAACAAATATTAAGAAAAAGAATTTTATTTTTTACCTATTTATTAGTTTAGCATGAATATTTTGGAAGTCTGATTATTAAATTATTATTTTTATGTTTCATTTCGGAAAGAAGTATCTTTAAAGCAAGTTTAAACTTAGCAGCTAAATAGGCTGTATATTTTTCAGGTGATTATGTTTTACCTTCAAATACGCACGTCCACATACCAATATACGATTTGCATCGTCGCGAAGATATCTATCCAGAGCCCGAAAGTTTTATCCCTGAAAGATTTCTTCTAGAAAATATTGCAAAACGACACCCTTACGCTTATATACCCTTTAGTGCTGGATCCAGAAACTGCATAGGTAAGGAGTCGAGATTAAAATAACTGAGCAGTTATGACATCGATGGGTGCCTGGAACAAGACCGCAATAGCCATAGTAGCTGTTTTCCGATTAAGCCATTTTCGTAATCTACGGACCCTATTACACCTTGTGGATTTTTTTCATAAATTAATAATGAAAACTGCCTGAGATAGCAAAAGCAGTATGGATATTCTCTCGTTATTCCCCGTTCATCGTTCGAATTTTGTTTGCCGGAATAATCGTGCTATGTGCAATGATAAAAGTTTTTTTCAACCTTCTACAACTAACGTCCATTGCGGCTTTGTTCCCCGAAATAAACTTAGTGTACCGATTCACAATAAACATTGCTGTACAAATATTTTAAACTTTCACTAGTAATAGTAATTATGGTTTTCTTACATGAAATAAAAATATGTCGATTGATTTTCAATAAACAGTGCTATATGTATGTAATCTATGTACTGTTTTTCTTACATTAGTTTTTAAATATCAAAAGTGTGTTTATCAATATGCCTGCCTAAATGCCTGCCAGATAATAATGAATAAGTAGTTATTATATTATTATTGTTGTGACACATCACATAGGTGCATCTTAAAGTAATAAAATATTATATTATTATTATTTTTGTATGTATAGTAAATGAAAACTACCAATCAGTATTTTTTTTACTTTTTAGTGCTTTTTTTAAAGTCGGTTTTTAGTTTTTTGTTAAAAAGTTTTTATTTTTTCCTTCTTAGTGTAGACAGTAGTAGCAAAGTGAGAAGAAAGTATTTTAATAAAATATTTTTGCTTTAACCGTTTAAGTTACTTTGATGCTAATTTTAATATGAAGACTGACAAACTAAAATTCACTTTTATTATTAACACTAAAAATTCTGGCTCTAAAATCTGATTCTAACAATCAAATCAAACAAAATAAGCCCAAACTCAAAGTACTATTAGCCGTTACTTTACTATTAGCCGTTGAAGAGTTCCACCTATCCACCTTCTGGCCTTACCATCAGATCAGGTCAACGATACCGAACCACTGCACTATCAACAGAAATAGAAGCACTTGCAAAGTTTCAAGTCAATATGATAATTAGAAGTAGGTTAAATTCATCATTAGGTATTTTTCCACCCTTAGTGGTGTTATATTTTTTGAAATTTAAAAGGGACCAATCTGGAAGTATACACTTTCAAACAAAACAAAAATTGTCCAAATCGGTTAATAAATGACGGAGTTCTGAGGTAACAAACATAAAAAAAACATACAGCCGAATTGAGAACCTCCTCCTTTTTGAGGAAGTCGGTTGATAAAAATATCTCTTTCAGAAATATTAAAAGTAGATACCATACTATTAGTTTAAGCACACCCAAAACACAAAAATCAAATTAGAAATAACGAAGAAATGGGGTATTTTGTGGGTATAGAATTAAAATCCCCTCGAGAACATAACTTTCAGATTAATTATAACTCTGACACTACAAGTTAAACGTTGAGTGTAAATAACCAGGAGAACAACGAGGGGTCACTGTATCAATAGAAGATATACTCGTAGTACTTGCCGAAGATACACATTCTAGATTTAATGTCTCTTGTCTATGTCAAGGTAGTGGTAGCGCCATAGATTTGAAGATCTCGGAATTAGACACTACTTTAAAACCAGAGAATATTACAGTTTCCGACTCAAGTCAAACATTGTTATGCAATTTAGGTAGAATTTCAGAAGATAATGATTCTTGTTCTATCTTGAACCCCGTGGTCCATAACATCTCATCACTAATTCTGCCCTCTGCAAAAGAACTACGAAATAGCACAATAAGCTATTTACAAAATATTGAGACTTATAATAATATTATTATTATGCCATTATTTGTCAGACGCACTTGCAATGAATGACATAGTTAGTGGCGAGAAATATAAAGTAATAGAGATGGATCAATCTGACTTTGTCGATATAAAAATGCTTATTGAAGGCCGAAATTGGACGCATGACTCTGAGGGAAATAAAATATTGTGGTCCAATATTATGGAAGTTGTTGCGGGTACTCATGAGGGTATACTGAACTTAAAATACAGTTTTGAAGATGATTATATTATGGAGTTCCACACGCGTACGGAGTTACACACACAGGGAGCTACAATGGACCACAACTGGTCGACGTAGTTATGGCCGACCTCGGCACCACTTCCAATAAAATATAATAAATAATAAAACACACTCGTGATCTACTAGCCAGATTTCCTACTCGAGGCGCCCGGGTACGGTGGACGCACAGGAAGTGGAAGTTTACAAGGTGCACAAATACTCCGTGCTGCTGCTATTCCATTCGTTTCCAAGCTGCAAAGGGCTTAACAATGAACCATTTCCTGTGCCTAAAGCCTTGCACTCAGACTTATTAAGTCTTTGTAAAAATTATGACATACCACGCCACTGCCTTGATTTTTATGAGGTTTTGGCATGAGAAACTGTTGAGGATGAAGTACTCGTAGCAGAACATTATTCCCAAGAAGACACACCATTTCTTTATGGATAATTTTGTTATTTCTTTTTGATACCTACCGTCAAAATCAATACTTTAATACATTTTAGATCGTAGAAATGTAAATAACCTGAAGACTATGTTATTGTTCTGGTAAATAGGTATATTGGTATTTTTTCTTATGACTTAATTATGCTGTGTCCAAAACTTTAAGTAAAAATAATAAATACATAATAATAAATAATTACGATATATTCTAGATTGATTGTAGTCATTCCAAAACTACCATATTCATATAATGTACACAGCATTCACAAGTACATTTTCCAAGTCGATCATTAAATTCATGTAACATCACTGCAAAACGCTATTACTGTATTCGCCATACATCCTCCAGATCAGCGTACAACGTTGCAATAGACTATTGCTGTCTGATTAATTTTGCACTTTTTACCGGAATAAAACCACAATGGATTCTTACGGAAACGACATTCAATGTATGAAGCGGCAATATGATTTTTTACTTGTTTTTAGGTATTTCCTTAGATTTATAAGCTTATGTACATTATATATCCGTCCAGAAAAAAATAACGCATCTTTTGATATATAAACCGTTTTGATGAGCCTCGTAGTTTAGTAATTATTCATGATTTTCACTAAATCTTTTTTCCTGTAAAATTGTATTTTGTCGATTGCGGCTTTGTTCCAATAACCCATCGACATAATATTGATTATAAATAAAAATATATTTATACTTAAATTCTATGTCGGCCTTTTATAGTTCATATATACAGTGTGTATAAATTTAAAGATAGCTAATTATATTTACTTTACTTTTTTTTATTTCAGGTCAAAAATTCGCCATGTTAGAAATGAAAACACTCGTATCCAGTTTGTTGAGGCGATTTCGACTGGAAGCTGTGACTAAGCCGAGTGATCTAATGTTTCGAACTGATATTATATTACGTACAGAAGGAAATCCGATATATGTAAAATTTCATAAAAGAGAATGAACTTTAAATGATAAATGTTTGTATTCAAAGAAAAGATATTTTATTTTAGTATGCATTTAATATAATTTGTTTAAAGGTATTTTTTCAAGAATCAATTATTATTCAATTATTATTAGGCGTACTAGTATATATAAATAACTACTTTTTTATTGTATGAATTGTTCGTTTGTGGAAACTTTATTGGCGTAATCTATACATATAATAAAATTCTAACTAAGTCAAATCTGTACATTAAATATTTTTTAGAAAATCTTATGGAAATAGACATTATTATCGATACAGAGGCTGAATCTATAGTTTTTTAGAATTTTTGTCTGTCTGTCTGTTACCGCATCACAGAAATACTACTGGACGGATTTTGATGAAATTTGGTATGGTTATAGCTGATTATCCGGGTCAGCATATAGGATACTTTTTACCACATAAAAATATCTTATTTCTAAGAAAAAATACAAAAACGATGATACTCGTACTATATAGATTTTAGCAGTTTAACTTACTAAATATGTCAAAAACTATTTAAAATAGCTAATCTTGAAAAAGTATATCAATAACACTATTTTTTCATTATAAAAATTATTTTAATGAATATTTATTTTTGTATTATTTACATATTTATCAATAGATGCGTCATATGCGTCTTTAAAATACGTAGTTTTAATTCCAAAAAATTGAATTTACAAATTCGACCTTTCTATGATTTTATTAGTATTACTACTAAATTACCCGCGGCCCCACCCGTTTTTAAATTATCAAAAAAACAATCTTTTTGGCTTTATAAACTAATTACATCTATAGATACATTAAAATTTAATGAAGCAGTATCTGTGCTTTTAATATTTTTTGGAGAATTTTATTGAAATACACATTATTATCGCTAACAGAGGCCGAACCTATAGTCTTAAGAATTTTTGCCTGTCTGTCTGTGACCGCATCACAGAAAAATCACTGGATGGATTTTGAAGAAATTTGGTATGGTAATAGCTGGTCATCCGAGTCAACTAATATACTAATACGAGTATACTAATACGAGTAGTGAATTTATAAAAACCTGAAATTTAAAATTATATTGTCGTTACACATAATTTAAGTGCCGAATAAAATAATCTGACATTATAATTGTTTTTTTTTATATTTTTTATATTTGTATTCATAATTGGTTGCATAAATCTAAGCACACAGTGGACAAGGTTTATTTCTCCCTTGTAATTGAAAATCTCTCTAAAACACTTTTCTACTATTTTCGAATAACATTAATAATTTAAAATATGTATTACTGATTACCGATATAAGTCTAGCTCTAGCTGCCCCAAGTAAGGAAGTCACCCATCATATCTTTTTCGAAGCCAATCGCTCTGAAAGCGCAACCTTTGGAATCAGCCTGTAACATTATAAGTAGATACTCGTAATAATTTCGTTATTAATATTATATTCATAAAGTTATAACATTCTTTTAAAAGTAACATCATAATTGAATTGAGTTATCGTAGGACTCTTGCCCTTTCTGGACGGTGGGAGCAACCCCATGGTTGTTGTGGTCTGTTTCAGTAGGTCTACAGTCGAGGCGTTGTCGCTGAGTGCGTAAGTGTTCCTGAAACACTACTTTAAGACGGAGGAGGCTCCGTTGCGTTTTAGTGTGTAGTACTGGCTTTTCTACCCCGTGAATCTACCTACCTGCATACGTGCAGGTGGTTATATGAGATTGAACTCTGGGACTGTGGCAAAAGACTCTTGCACTCTATGTAAATATTCCAAATTTTCTTTTTATATGACTTTTACTATTGTGTTTGGTACTTGTATGTAAATCTAGCAAGAAAATGTAAAAATATAACTTAGTACTATTTTCTTACTTAATAAATTACTTAACTTCGCTATGATTCAAAATGATTGTACTTTAGTTTCATTCCGTCTAACATACTCGAAAAACCAGCAGGGCACGCGTCAATAATTGATTTCGGAAACTCAATTTAGTCCACAAGACAAAGACGTCGTCATATTCTTATCAATTTTATCTTTAATCTACAATAATTACCACAATAAATGTACGATGTTTAGCTTTAATTAATTGTTTTTTCAAGATTATTCACCTTCGCAATACCGCAAAAAATTATAATTTTTTACCTGTCGTTTTTATTACATCTAATTTACGCATAAAACTTAGCTACTTTAAATTCGTATCAAGACACGCGGTAGCGTATCCAGCCAAGTTCAAGTCAAAGGAACTGGAGACGCAGCAACGTGTTATTTCACACGAACCATTTGGAGCCACTTTTGACCTCTAAATAACTGAAAATCTATTCAACATATAACATGAAATTTGGTTAAGTTATTAAATCTCCTTAGATGTACTTGAACTCTCATTTTCATAAATACAACTCAAACGGTTATTCAGATATTAACGTCTAAAAATCGGCATTTTTATAACTGACTGACTGATATATAGTAGTAAAACCTAACCTACTTGACCTAGATAACCTAGACAGTTGAAATTTGGTGTCCAGATGGGTAATTGTGTGTATACAAAGGAAAAAATTCGACAACAGTGAATTTTTAATATTCTTCAATTAATTTTTATTAACACCTTGAACCTTCTAAGACATAATAGCAATAGCTATCTTAGTAATTGCAAAAACTTTTTCTTTCACAGGAGAATGAAATGTATGGATGAAAGGTCACTTTATCGTTTTGAATACCTACCAGATTATTTATTAAATATATGTAGACAACTAATAATAATACAAACTGCAACTGGCAGCGCCGGCTCAGCGATCTGAAATCATTGCGAACAATTGTATTATTTATTTATAAACCGACTTCCAAAAAGGAGGATGTTCTCAAGTCGTCAAAATCTTTTTTTTATATAATTTTCAATTTAATCAAAAATGGGTGCTTTCATTTTTTTGAATAAGGGCTAAAAAAACTTATTACGCCGCTGATTGTAATTACATATGTAGATTTAATATAGTTTAAACATCAGGAGGGGCCTGAAAGCGAATACTCTGTATGATCCGTGTAAATTACACATTACAAGTCATCCTTTACTTTTCGAGCTTGGCTAATACATTATTTAAATTTAGAATATATTATATTTTTGATGACGTAGGTTGAGAATAATTAACTTCATTAAAAAAACATGCCACAAATGTTAATTTAAGCTGACAATAATATATCACATGTTATCTACACTAATATTACAAAGAGATAAAGTTTGTATGTTTGTATGTAGAGAGTAATCTTTGAAACTATTGATCGGATTCTGAACTTTTTTCATTAATAAGAAACTATATCTGCCCAGCGTTATAGGTTTCTTCCGATAAAAAGGTGTTTATAGTCAGGACTCATAATATTTTTAATTGAAGTTGGATAAAAATCGCCGTTATTTTATCGGCTATTATATTCCAGGGATGTACCGAGAGGCGAGGTAAGGCGATGGTAAGTCGTAAGTGTATAAAAATTTGGATGTATATGTATGTATTCAACCCTTTTTAACGTCCCACTGCTGGGCACGGGCCTCCATTCAGTACGAGGGGAATCAGGCCATAGTCCACCACGCTGGCCAAGTGCGCGTTGGCGGACTTCACATGTCTTTCGAAAACTTGCTAGGTTCTTCCAGACATGCAGGTTACATCACGATGTTTTCCTTTAACGTAAGGCAAGTGGTAATCATGTTAGAAATGATTCGCAGATGAAAATATCAGAGGTGCCAGATCCGGTATTTGAACCCGCTTCAATCGGCTTCCCAAGCGAGCGCGCTACCACTGGGCTACCACTGTCCATACATATATAGGGTATATATTTATATATTTTATGAGAGTGATAGGAATAGAGAGTGCACTTGTGTCTGCGCGTACACTTGAGCACTATAATATCTCCTGCGCAGTTGGCTAATCTCATTGAGATTGGCCGCCGTGGCCGGAATCGGCTAGGAGAACATCATCATATATATATATATATATATATATATATATATATATATATATATATATATATATATATATATATATATATATATATATAGGATCACCTGCTGGGCTAATCTGAAGATTGCGTGAAAATTTCATCAAAATCGGTCCAGCTGTTTTGGAAGTCCATAGGAAACATACACACATCGATTTTTATTTTATTTAATGAACAATTTAAATTTATTTATTGCTCGGAAAAATGGAGTCTTTTAAGAAAATTTAGTGGCACGCCGACTGCAGCGCCACCTACTGGGTCCATTTGTGTTTTCAAACCTTGCAGGGACAGAGAAAGGGACTCGAACATACACAAAAAATATCACTAAAATCATCCCTGTCATTTAGGAGGAGTTGGTTAACAAACACACGTACAGAAGAATTACATAATTATATTAATTACATTCGCTTCGCAACAAACAAACACACTTTTAAATTTATAATATTATAGTATGGATAGTCAATCTATTCTATACTAACCGTTATCATAGCTATCATTTTGATGTGGGGTAATATATTCACAGTTTTAGGATTCCTCACTTAACGGTTTCAGTTGAAACTAATACGTACTGTTACTTCTGTTAACCAGAAAAGGTTGCTTTTATTTTTACGCATGGATACAGTTTAAAAATTCAATTCAATAATTTATTGAATTATCTTTTTGATTTTCGAATACGAAAGGTAGTTTTATTTACTCGTAAAATGTCAAATGTTCACGTTAATCTAACGAATCATTAAGGTACTTAAATCCCTCAAAATTCTCACAATACACAGAACCCTCATTCATACGAGTCCGGCTAAATTTTTTTGTTTTTTTTTTTATTTCTGTTCACTTTGTAAGCATTGCGCTTCTTATAAAACAGACTGGTGTAGAACGATAAATCAGTTTCCATACTTCGACTTTGAAAAGTAACCGTATCAGCTTCGATATAATAATGATTGTAACTGCTTTTGCTTGTGGATTTCTATGTATAATTTTTTTAGCCTGCTTATATGATAGATTTAGAAGAACAAGAAGACTTATGGTACAAATACCAGGCG